AATAAAATAAATATAAATATAAATAAAATAAATATAAATATAAATAAGTAAATATATTTTTCTCATAAAAAAGTAATTATAATATTTCATTTTTAGTATTATAAAAGTTTGTCACTATCAAAAGAAGAAGAACAAAAACGAAAGAATCAATGCTCGCGACATCGATACAAATATAAGCGACTAAATACACCAGACGGTATAATATTTTATTTTATTATCACTTTTTGTTACATAATATAAATAATAAATTTTTTAAGGCTTTTGGGATCCGGAGTTTCCTGAGACAAACAGCATTGACAGACTATTTGGTTTTTAAAGCTTTATTGCGACTCATGGTACAGAAACATTGACTAGATTGTTTTCACTGGGTACATTAAATATAGACATTTTTATTTTTATTCTACTTATCTAAGCGTATATTCACCATAGAGGATATTTTTTTTGCAATACACTTTAATTTTAATCTCATCTTTTAATTAGTTCCGTTTGATTCTAAATATCAAAGCAAACTACGTTTCTCTTCTATTTCTCTTCTAGACGGGGGATCGAAGGCTTCTGATATTACTAATAAACTCTTATATATGATCGCAAAGGATAACTTACCATTGTCTACGGTGAAAAAAAAAGGCTTCCAAAAATTCATGCAAACCGTCTCACGATTGTACAAAATCCCTTGTAGAAAAACAATAACGACTCTTATGGAGGGAAAGTATGAGTTTTTATCAGACATGATAAAAACTCGTCTTTCGGAAGTTCGAAATTTATCCCTCACTACAGACATATAAACGGACACGCTGAACACCAAAAGTTTTTTGGGCGTAACAGCCCATTATGTGAATAGTGAACAGCATAAATCTGTTACAATCGGTGTGACCGAACTGACAGAGAGACACACAGCTGAAAATATCGAAAAATAATTATTGCAGATTATTGCAGACTGGCGAATAAATAAAGAAAATATAATTATAGTAATTTCTGACAACGCAACTAACATGAAAAAAGCGATTGTGGATGGATTTGGCGCTGAAAAATATTTGGCATGTTTTGCTCATACGTTAAATTTAGTACCGGGAAATATTATTAAGGATGACGCTATTGTGAAAGATCTATGCAAGAAGATCAAAACAATCGTAACATATTTCAAACATTCAGTGCCCGCTGCAGATGAATTACGGATGAAATCAACCCTTAAATTGATCCAGAACGTAGATACGCGATGGAATTCAACGAAGAACATGCTTGATCAATTTATCAAATTGGCTGATCTAATCAGTCCAATTTTATTACAATCACCATTAGCACCACCAATGCTAAATGCTTCGGAATTGCAGACGACAAAAGAATTCGCGGAATTATTAAAACCATTTGAAGATGCGACACATATTATATGTGGCGAAATGTACCTGGCCGCAAGTAAAGCTATACCTATTGTACACACCATTAAAAACAAATTGACATCGTCAAACTCGGATACAAAAATAGGTATCCATTTCAAACAAGAATTAATGAAACAGTTATTGAAACGATTTGAGCATATGGAAAAGGTTACGTCTTTAGCCATAGCCACTATTTGCGATCCACGATTCAAAAATATTGACTTCTCTGATAAAGTTGCGTGTTCTCAGGCTGTAAACAAAATCACAAGAATGATTAATGCGACTAGACAACAATCAAATGAGCAAACGTGTGTGCTGAATTGTCCACTGCCAAACGAGACGACTTTTGGGCGTTTCATGAAAATCTTGCGGCTGACGATCAATCAAAACGGATTGCCAATCGTGACAATGATGCGATGCCCGATGACCTCAAATGTTACCTGAACCAACCAACGATTACTCTGAATAAGAGTCCACTAAAATACTGGAGCATGCACCCACATTCGGCCCTACAAG